GAACAAAGCTAGAAACTCTCTTCTATAAAAGGAGATCATTCTCCCACAATATTGCCTAATGTCATTTATACTAAATCATTCACTAGTACTCACTAAAGGAGAGCTTGAACCTATGTACTTGTGTAAACCCTTCACAATTAATGAGAACTCCTCTACTCCGTAGACGTAGCCAATCTAGGTGAACCACGTACATCTTGTGTTTGCTTCCCTGTCCCTATCCATTTACATACTTATCCACATTAGTGACCAGAGCAATCTAACGAAGGTCACAAACTTAACACTTTCTGTTGTACCAAAGTCCTCACTGATTTTGTTCATCAACAAAAGAAAAGCTAAAGGTAAAATAATTGAAGTGCCTCTAATCAGAACGAAAGATAAAATAGCTGACATCCTCACCAAAGTAGTTTCTAGTGAAAAGTTCTCTAAGTTTCTAGACAAGTTAGGCATGTGTAACACATATGCACCAACTTGAGGGGGAGTGTTGACTTATATAGTTTCCTATAATTTAGGATTTCCTAGTTTAGGATGGATCCCGTGTAATCTGGGAGAAATCTGTTTGTAATCTCATGTAATTATTCTTCCCTATTTGGTTAGGATTAAGATTGTATATTATACCTTTTCCTGAGAAGAATAAACATATCATTCAAAAAATTCTATTGAGGGAGAGAACTAGGGGTGGGTCAACAGAGATTGACATGCGGGTTGGGGTGGGTATTGTCTGTTCAAGTCGGGGCTATATTTGGTAGATACAAAACCAGGGGAGAGCTGAGGGTATTTACGGGGCAGACCGACCCATTTCTAACATACAATTAATGGCATGATCTAATTATCAGTAATCCAGAAATCCCGACCGTTGGATAGGATCTACAGTTTTTAGTTTTTACTCGTTCAGTAACTTCAGTTTAGTCCCCCCCCACTACCCAGACCCCCCCTCCCCACTTTCTTTCTCCATTTCTCATTCTCCCTCCCACCTCCACTCGACTTCTTGAGACAGAGAGTAATTGAGTTGATTCGTATTCGACTGTGTCGACATCATAGTAGCCAGCCACCACACGACATCACCTCACCATCATTTCCCGACTCTCTTCCATTGTGGGACCATGACCATCACCATTGTGGGACCATGATTAGCACATGACACTTGGCAAGAAGGATTGGAATGCCTGAAGCCATGGAGCCTGCCAAACTTTTGCCAGGCTAGGCTTAACGCCTTATTAAAGTACTTGTCTCCCAAGTAAGGAAATCTTAATTCAAGTCAAATTATGATATCTTGGGGATTATGCAAGTAGTCCTAATCCTAAGAAAATTGAATATCTTCTAGATAGTTTCTGGATTTAATGAAGATTGCTTTCCATAAAAGGACTCTCAACATCTCTATAAATACTTTAACCTGGGTACTTATCAAGCGACGTCTCTCTAACTCTCAAAGGAATCAATGACAAATGAAGATACACCTCTCACATATTCTCTCCACACCTACAAAGAGATTTGGAAGTGCTTTTAAAATGGTTGAAAATGCTTTTAGTGAAAATGTTTTTGAATCCAATCCTTAGTAAGTGAATCTTAGAAAAACACTCGAAGTGCTTCTTACAAGAAGGACATCTGGTGCTTCTTAATTATCAGAAGCACTTCAATTGCTTTTGGATCCAAAAATATTTTCTCTAAAAGTTCTTTGAAATTTGAGTTATAAGTTTCTATGTCACGTGGTAGAGCGAGTGGTAAACACTGTTCAATAAACATAAGATAACCACGTATTAAAGAAATTATGTCTGATTCAAATTTTGTAAGATTGTAACACATGTTTTGTTTTAACTATAGACAATATATGTCACTCATCATATCATATCATGCCATATAAAAGTTCCTACTCAAGTTTTTCTGGTCCCCAAGCGAGTGACTAGTGGTGCATAGTCCTTTCCATTAGAAGGACCATGCCAAAAATAGGAACTTGCCCTACTAATTTTCAGTCAATGCCCCATTTCAACAGCAGAAATACACGCTGCAGATAGACTCGCTACCAAATCCATGTCCCACTGCTAATTGGAACCATAACTTAGTGTATATATATAGACGTTTTCCAATCCCAGTTTTACATCAATCAAGAAAACGTTTACATCATTAAGAAAACCACAAGTATTCTCATTAATCCCATAAATTTTTAGAGAAAATGTCCAGCATGCAGCAACCATTCAATGCAGGCCAATCCCAAGGCCAGGGCCAGGTATGAGATTGATGTTTTCAATTCAAGCAGGGTGTTATTATTTCCACCCACCTGTCATATTCTCTCACCCGTCGACTATTGAGAATGTTCATGACAAATGGATATAAAGTGAGTGGGGAAATAAGACAAGTGCGTGGGTGCAAGAACACTTTTAAGCTGCAGAACGTAATTTATTAGATGATCATCGTACCTGTGCTGTATATGTGATGCAATGCCATATATTTTATGTTGTTGTTGGTGCAGGCTAAGGCAGAAGAGTGGATGCAGTCCACACAAGAAACAGCACATGAAGCTAGGAACGCAACAGCTGATGCAGCTCAATCAGCCAAGGAGTCTTCTCAGCATGGAAAGGACCAAAGTGCTGGTTTTCTTCAGCAGGTTATAAATATTTCTGGATTAATTGTTAACTCCTTCACTCTTTTGACATGCATGAGAATTTGAGTGACGCTTAAGGGACTAAACTAATTAAGTTTAGATGATCACAAATTATGTGACGGGTCAAATCCACTTTATTACATCAATTTCTGTATTCAGTTGTCAATAAACACGTAAATTGCCTAGGAATCAGCTAATTTGGTCTAAAATTTTGATCCCTCAAACATTTTCGAATAATTTTCAAACACACGCTGACTATAATACAAACAAGTGGATGGTCATCAATAAATCTTGTAAACTTTCTGATAGAGCTATTCTCAATTGCCACAGACTGGAGAGCAAGTGATGAACATGGCACACGGTGCTATGGACAGCGTGAAGAACACACTTGGAATGAATGAAAAGAAATGAAGAAGATATATACCAGCAGCAGGCACATCTTCCTATTACGATTTGTGAAGATGTGCGGTATCAACTAATTAGCATCTACATACGTACTTCGATGGATATAGGGTTTTGTTAATTAGGAGCATTTCTTGCTCTTAATTCCTTATCATTAGGGAAACTCAAGTTAATTTGTCTGTCAGAGTCAGACTGAGAAGTCTTTGAAAGGAAGCTCATGTCATCAGTTGGAATAAACTCTACAGATATATTCTTTAGTTTGTTTTCCATTTTTCTTCCACATTACAGCAATCAATGTAATAAAAGCTTAACAAGTACTGCAATGCAATATGCCAATTACCTATGTTAACTCGATCATATATCTTCTGTTAGTAATCCTATAACATCACCAGGGAGTTAATTTCAGTATTCAGTGCTCGACGCTGATACCCAAATCGTTCAAAATTCTTGTCCAAGTAAACTACTACTATCTCCCTTTCAATTCATCTAAACTTCTTCCTAATTAGTTGCTCAACGCTGATACCTAAAACTCCTCTTCCTTCATTAACCAGTTGCTTTTATTGTTCTTTCCATCTAGGCTAGGGTTAATTTCTTGTGATCCCCAAGTTAAAATCTACAGAGGACCAAACCGAAATCCAGTCCAGCAAAATATATATTAGGTAGCAAATCGAGCTGGTCTGAACTCCAAATTGACCGTTTTGCATTAATCTCGACAAACTTGCCTCTCTAACATTTATTGCGCTCCAAAGAAACTTTGTCCTTCATGCGTGGGATAAGGTTGTCAAATATAATATATATATATCTCAGTCATCATCATTCACTTGCATACAAGAGCCTGTCGATAGTGGATCCTTCTATCTCACGATACCAATGATGATTTGTTTCATTTTTGTAATCTTGAATGCAAGATTTGAAACTTGAAGATGAGCAGTTACACCATGGTAATGTTATCTCCCTTGGATCCTCTAGTGATTGCTTTTCTTGAGGACAAAAAAACAGCTTTAGAAGCTGGGGGTTGTCTTCTAGCTTTTTATCCATTATATTGGTATTAAGAAAGAAAAAAAAAAGTATTTTCTCAATTCGATAATGACAGCTCACTTTCCATACTACCAAGTAGCCTGGAGTATTGAAGAAAAGAAAAATTGCATGCGTTGCTCTTAAATCCTTTCTTTGGAATTCAACTCTCTCGCCCACATGTTGAAGCTTTTCCAAATACTATTAGCATTTACATACCCTGTAAGTAAAACACACAGAACGCCAATACTGTGTTTTGTACAATCAAATTCAATTTTAAGTTCTTTAGAATTTTAAACAAAATTATCTAACATTTCGTTTTCATTTAACTTGTTTGTTAACTATTTTTAGTTTTACTACAAGCTACTTTTTTTTTTAATCATTTGCCACACTTGCGTGGCTGTTGGAATGTTGGACGCTCATCCAATTACAGGAAAGCACTTTTTAGGGAAAATGGTTGAAATCAGGAATGTTTTTGAATTCCAAAAACGCTTAAAATCCTAAACCCTCATTGGTGCGATAAAAACTTTAAATGTTTTTCCAAGATTTACTTGTATTTTTACTGAGAATTGGTTCCAAAAACTTTATTTTTATTTATTATTTAATTATTATTATTTTTTATCAAAAACACTTTTAGCTATTTTTAAAGAACTTCAAAACCAGTTGACAATCAGATCCTGTTTTCTTGCTATCAATTGCAACATAAAAAAAAAAAAAGGTTTTTTGGGGGACACGGAGATAAGAATAATTTTATATAAAAATTATCAAGAAGTTACCAGTTTGGTCCAAATTTCTTCTCCGATACATGTAATTAAATTAAATATGACTAAGTAACTCTTTGGAAAAATTAAATATGACCAAGTCGGCACTTTCTTAGATTGGTAGTTACGCTCACCACTTTGTTAGGGTTAAGATTATTCTCAGTTCCTTTTATTTTCCTTTCTAGCTAGGGTTACCTTTTCCAACCTCTCTTCAAGATCATATGCCAATGGAGGACCCAGAAAACCTCCACTCAAACCAAATAAAACGTAGTACATCAAGCTGGTCTGAACTTCCAATCGACCCTTGTGCATTGATCTTACCAAAGTTGTCTTTTGCAAACGTATTGCGATTCAAAGCAGTTTGTCCTTCATGGAATAAGGCCGTCAAATTTGTATCGCAGTCGTCATTGTCATCGTCGTTCCCTTGCTTATCGGAACCACCATGGATCCTTCTTCCTCAATATACCGACGATGATGGGTTTCGTTTTTCAAGTGTTGAAGGCAAGGTTTACAGCTTGAAGAACACACCCTATGAGTTACGCCATGGTAATAGCATCTGTCTTGGATCCTCTCAAGGATGGCTGTTTTTCTTTTGGAATAAGAACCAGCTACAGCTGCTGCTCTTAAATCCCGTCTCTGGGATTCAACTCCCCCTCCCACGTTTCAAAACGTTTCCAGATATAATTAGCATTCAATACAAGACGCAGAGTGCCAAGAGAGAGCTTTGTACAATCAAATTCAAGACATCTACTCATGCTAATAATCAAATTCAAGGCACGGAAAGTTACAATGTTGGCTCAGCCAAAGATTTGGCGAGACAGATCAGCAAAGTTGTTCTGTGTTCGAGACCAACTTGCAGTAGCAGCAATAAAAATATTGGAGTTTTGGTGATGTACGACTTCACAGATAGGTGGTTGAACGTATATAGTAATAGTAATTATCTTGCGTTTTGTACCACAACAGATCGTAGGTGGAGAAAACTTGCCAAGCACAGAATGTACATTGACGTTACCAGCTATGACAATCAGTTTTATGCTTTACGCCAAAACTATTATGTCTAAGTCTGGGATTTCTCCAAGTCCTTTCTCAATAGAAAGATGATAATCCGGCCTGATCAAAGAGCGAAAATTGCTAATAATTAGAGGGATTACATAATCAAAACAGGAGAAGATGTATTCCGAGTTGTGCGGTTCTACAAGGATTTTTTCAGTGAAACAATTGCGTTCCATATTTATAAGCTGGAATATTTGATAGATGGTAAATCGAGATGGATAGAGGTGGATTCGATTGGCAAGAGTGCTTTATTTTTGGGTTTGAAACAGTCCATAGTAATGAGCTCTGCACACGATGGCTTAGAGTGGGATGAAAATTCAGTTTACTTCACACATATGCCTTCCTACTACAATAGTCATTTAGGTGTGTTTAATTTGAAAAGCAAACAAGTTGAAAAATTTGTGATCTTCCAAAGGGCCCTGCACCACCTGTTTTTTGGATTGACCCAAATACGCTTCAGCATTGCATGCTAGGCTAGGGAGGAATTACCTCTGCCTGGGGTGAGGTACATTCATCGGTGTTTTCTGCAGTACTAGAGTTCAATTATTTGAATTGTCTACTTTTCAGTTTTCATTTTTTTTAGTATTCGGGAACCAAATAACTCATCAAGTTTTCTACTTAAAAATTAACTGAGCTAAACTTTGTGGAAGTCTTGGAGAAGTGAGTGATTTTGACCTGCAGTAATTAGTGAGATGAAAGGTTTGAGTTTCAAATCATCAGCTTTCTTGGGATCCTGACGGTGGATTACCTCAACCAATTTAGTTTTAAATTTATTCGATTTGTTGGAATTGTTTTGTTCAGGATAATGTTGAAAGACAGGAAGTTGATGCTGCAGATTGTAAGACAGTACATCTTTCAGAGTGTGCAATCACTTCCTTTTAATATATGGGACGATGTGTTCCTAATTGTGCAGCTTTACAAGAATTATTTCAGCGAAAAGATTGCGTCCATATTTATAAGCTGGAATGTGCTATAGATGGTAGATCATGATGGATAGAGGTGGAATCGATTGGTAAGAAAGCGGTGTTTTTGAGTTCGAATCAGTCCACAGCATACCTTTGCAGCTGGCAGTAATGAGGTATGCACATGATGGTTAACTCAGAATGGGAAGCAAATTCAATTTACTACACACATATTGGAAGGAATTTACTAGCAAACTAGGAAACTTAATTTCTTTGCTCGCTTGAATGATTCAATTTTTTTCCCTGAATGGATGCTGGTCAAGAACTTTCCAGTTAACAAGATTTTTGGTTTTTCTGTTTCTATTTTTTGCAGAATTACAACAGATGAGATGATCGTGATCCAAATTTATTGGTTTTTCTATTGCTCCCATCAGTTTGTAATCATGATCCAAATGCAGTGGATGCACATGAACACTACATATTGCCGGTCGAGACTTAATTTTTTGTTTCGGTAAGTTAACCTTAGTGTGCGTGGTACTGAATCCATGGCAGCAGTGATGGGACTACAATTTGCTAGAGATCTGGGATTCTCTAGTGTGATGCTTGAAATGGATTCCAAAGCACTGGTGCAGATTAATGACGATGAGGACTGCTATGAAACTACAAGTTAGTCTAATTGAGAAGTTAAATCTTTATCTCTTTGAGTTTTGAATTAGCTATTTTTTCTATTTTTTTTAAAAACAAACGATATTATCTACACTAAGAGGGAGGAGTAGGTAGGTTTAGCCTCACAATAAGTTAGCAATAATGTTGTTCAAATTCAAATTTGGCGAGAATCGAACCCAAGATCTCACTCACTTACAAACGAAGAGGAATGCCACTGTGGACATGCAAATTTCGGTGAAAATAGATGTTCACCAACATATTAAATTTTGGCATGCAGGGGCTTACATGGCATAGGAGGGTGGATGAGTCATCGAGGACACATATCAACACTTGGCGGAGAGGAATTATTTGATTTTAATGTAATTAAATCAAATATTAATTGATGGAGACAAATCACAAACCGGCCCATAATTGAATCATGGTTCTTTCGTCAATTAATCAAGCCCACAATCAAAGCCAAATCCATTCATAGGCAAGGCTTGGAGAGTCTATAAATACAAAGCTCCAAGACAAAAAAAGAGTCCAGAAAATCATTTACGCCCAGACGCTAAAGCTTTGAAACTTTGAAGCTCTCAAACACTCAAATCCCCCAAACACTCAAAACACTCAAGAAAACCCTCCGCATTCTTTGTCAAACCCGTGAAGAACCACCAAGCACCCCTACACGTGCTGGTTCCTCCATTGCCAAGTCCCAAAATCTTGTGGCATTTGTTCATCTAAGATCAAGTCATTGCGACCCTTGGATCAACAACACTACACACCTTACATTTTAGAGATCGAATTAGAGGATCAAATTATAAAAAGATTGTAACCCAAACCCTATATTAATACAATTATTACTTTGTACGCGTGTTTTCTTGTCATTTGTTACAAGATTTTCGTGTTTACAACCACTAAACTATAGTACTAAGTGATAGCTAATTTTTCTAGTAAATAACTACTTCTCGGAAAAGTATTAAACAAATATAAAAAATAAAAAAATAAAAAATTTGAACCCTAGAAATTAGGAAAGCAATCAATAGTATTATTTTATAGCCCTTTTTTTTCATGAAAATACTATTAAATTGCCATATTGTACTTTTAATAGCATTTAATAAACTTAATATGGCGTTTGTGAGCAACATGCTATCAAAGCTAAAAAATGAAAATGAAAACATGCTAATTAATAACCACGGCGGCATATAAGGAAAAAAAAATTGATTTAAAATAAAAGTCTTCGTGTATTTCACATTTTTTTTTTGGAAGAAAGGTAATTTTATTACCAACACCACACCATAGTTACAAAAAAAGAGGTGACTCCAACATCCTTCAAAAGGCATCATACAAATCGGAACCACAACCACAAACCAAAGGAAGCTAGTGAGAGATGACCCACTAGCAACAAATCCACCGAAGGCAACAAAGTCACCGAAGAAAAATCCATGGGAGTGTTATAAAACTAAAAACTGTGTTTGCTGCAGAATGAGTAAAAGGAATGCAATACTGATTCATTGACTTGAAGTCAAATTGAATACAAATGCTAATAATTGAAAGCTAGAACATAAAGCAACATCTAATCTCACAACTAACAACTCCTAATAATATGGGATTCTCCTAAGGAATAGGTAAAAGCAACAAACTTCCTAACAAATAGGAATTTATTGAAAACAAACAACTAAATATCTTAACACCTCCCTTAAACTGAATGCCATCTACGCAATCAGTTTAAAAAGGAACTTGAACAAACTCCGATTAATCCACACAGCTTCTCAAATGCTTCCAGCTTTAGAGGTTTGGTCAGGGTATCTGCAACTTGGTCTTCATTTCGACAATAAACCAAATCAATGGTTTTTTCAGTTGTAAGACCATGAAGGAAATGATACCTCACATCTATATGTTTGCTTCTTCCATGTAAAACTGGATTCCTAGAAAGTTTGATAGTTGAACTATTATCACAATGAATCACAGTACGCCCATGTTGATAAAAATGTAACTCTTAAAGAATCATTCTCAACCAAATTGCTTGACATGCAGAAGTTGCTGCAACTATGAACTCTGCTTCAGTTGTGGACAAAGTAACAACCTGTTGCTTCTTTGATGCCCATGATATGGTACCTGAACCCATCATAAACACATGGCCGGATGTACTCCGCCTATCATCTAAATCACCAGCATAATCGCTGTCAGTGAAACCAGTCAAAACAGATCTTCCCTTTTTCTTGTAGAAAATACCAAAATCCGTTGTTCCCTTCAAGTAACGAAACACTCTTTTAGTAGCTCTGAGATGCAGCTCCGTTGGTCTTTCCATATACCTGCTAATCAGACACACTGCATACATAATATCGGGCCAAGTGGCTGTCAAGTACATTAAACTTCCAACAATTTGTTTGAATAAGTACTACCAACCCTATCTCCATCAAGATCACTTGTGAGCTTCAATCTCGGTTTAATTGGAGTCCCAACTGGATTACAATTCTCCATGTGAAACCTCTCCAAAACCTCCTAAGCATATTTCTTTTGCCTAATAAAAAAACCAATGGCTGTTTGTATTACTTCTATACCAAGAAAATATTTCATCTTTCCCAGATCAGTCATGTCAAATTCAGCTATCATAGAATTCTTAAAATCAACAAACATAGCCTCATCATTGCCCATGAAAATGAGATCATCAACATATAAGCAAACTATCAGGATTTTACCTCCTTCTCCATACTTGATGAATAGAGTGTGCTCATAAGGACATTTGTTGAAACCTGCCTTTTCAAAGTGTGCTTCTATACAAATGTACCAGGCTCGAGGTGCCTGTTTCAGTCTATATAACGCCTTTTTCAATTTGTAAACCTTATGTTCATTACCTTTTATCACATAACCAGAAGGCTGCTCAATGTAGGCTTGCTCAAGTAGTTCACCATTAAGGAAGGCTGATTTCACATCAAGTTGGAAGACGGGCCATGAGTTTTATGTTGCTAATGAAACCACCAGTTGAATTGTATCCTATCTTGCAACAGGAGCAAAAACCTCTTGATAATCAACTCTATGTTCTTGATTATAGCCTTTCACAACCAGCCTTGCTTTGAACTTGTCAATGTCTCCCTTTTCATTCAACTTCGTCTTATAAACCCACTTCACACCAATGGTTTTTTTCCCTTCGGGAAGATCGGTTAGCTCCAGGTCTCATTCTTCTCTATAGCTTGAATCTCTGCTTTTCTTCTTTCACTGTTTCTGCAAACAATATAGGACCAGAGCCTACAAATAAAGCGAAATGAGCAGTAGTATCCTCATCAGATAATTCATCTCCACTTACATAACTATCATCCATGATGGTCTTTTCCAGCATGGTTCTGAGCTAGATGTCTGATCTTCATTTGGAATTGAAACACTTGCTGAGGAACTTGGTGAAACTTCACCAAAGGACTGATCTGGAAGCTACAATTGTGATTCAGGCCCTTGACTTTCGAGAG